GTGGTGGCACCATGTCCCTGTGATGTCACCAGATCCCTGTGATGTCACCGGTCTCCAGTGATGTCCCCAAAGTCTCTGTGACATAACTAATAATGGCCAGTCTTCGCGAGCGAAGATCCGGGGAAGGTCTTTACACCTTCCAGCCTGCGCATTGGATTTTTTAGGTGAGACACAGTGTGCGCGGAACTGAGCCCACCCTTTATTCCTAAGGTTCATCTGCCGGGGCCAAGCGAGCTTGGATGGTGGCAGTGAGGTCCTTAGGACGTAGGTGGGTTGCCTTTAAGGGCTAACGAGCCCCACCTGCCCGGGAGTGGCCCTGACCGGGAATCGAACCTGGGTCTCCGCGGTGATAGCGCGGCGCCTTTACCACTAGACCACCAGGGGCTCAATGACATAACTACTGTCCCTGTAATGTCACTGGTGGTTATTGATGTCACTGTTGTCCCTAACACCTACAGGTGTTACCACTGTCCCCTGTGATGTCACTGCTATCCCCAAGGTGTCACCCATGTCCTGTTGGAGGCACCTATGTCCCTGAGATGTCACTGGTCCCCAGTGATGCCACCATTGTCCCTGTGATGTCACTGTTGTTCCCAATGATGTCACCATTGTCTCTGTGATGTCACCGATGTCCCTGTGATGTCACTGGTCTCCAGTGATGTCACTGTTATCCTCACGAGTGTCACTACTATCTCCTGTGATGTCAGTAGTGTCCCGGGGTGGTCCCTGTGTTCCCCACTGATGTCACAGATGTCCCCATGATGTCACCGCTGTCCCCTCTGATGTCACTGATGTCCCTGTGACATCACGACTGTCCTTTTGTTGTCACCAGTCCTCTGTAATGCCATTGGTCCTCAGTGATGTCACCGATGTCACTGTGATGGCACCAGTGTAAGTAATGATGTCACTGATATCTCTGTGATGTAGCAATTGTCCTTATGAAGTCACCAATATCCCCAATGATGTCACAAAGGTCCACATTATATATGGGCTGTCTCTTTGTTGTCACCAGTCCCCTGTGCTGTCACTGGTCCTCAATGATATCACCGATGTCCCTGTGATGTGACCACTGTCTCCTCTGATGTCAGCAGTGTCCCTGGCGATGTCACTATTTCTCTGTGATGTCACCAATGTCCCTGTAATGTCATTGCTCTCCCTGTGATGTCACAACTGTACCCAGTGGTGGCACCATGTCCCCGTGATGTCACCGACATCCCTGTGATGTCACCAGCCCCCTTTGATGTCACTGGTCCCCCATGATGTCGCCAGTGTCCCTGTGATGACACCACTCTTCCCTTGTGATATCACCAATATCCCCAATGATGTCACCGACGTCACTGTAATTGTCACCCTTGTCCCTGTGAAGTCATCAATGTCCCCAATTGATTGTTTACAAACAATGATGTCACTCTGATATCATGGCTATCCCTTTGTTGTCACCATTCCCCTGTCACTGCTCCCCAGTGATGTAACCGATGTCCCTGTGATGTCACCGGTTTTCACTGAAGATGTCACTCGTGTCTCTGCGATGTCACCCCTGTCCTTGTGAAGTCACCATTGGCCCCTTTGTTACATCAAGACCTCTCCTCTCCATTCCAGAAAGGCCCCTGGCCACCAAAGAACTAATGCCTCACACCCCAAGCATGCAGCCCAGCATGTCTGCCATGGGACTCTTTGTGATGTCATGGCCTACCCTCTCCATTCCAGAATGACCCCTGGAAACCAAAGAACACACGCCCCACAGTGTCCCAGTGCAGCCCCACCCGCCTTGGCAGGGTAACACCTCCCCACAAACCCTGGCCATGCCAACATGTCCACACCCAGCCCTTCCACCAGTCCCAGGCCCATCAGAAATGTGTTCTGGATGCCTTGATCCCAAAGTATCTTTGTGACTGGCACATGTATTGACAATGTCTGAGGGATAAATCCAGATCAAATCTATTCCCTGGATTGGACATGGAGACGTGAGCCCCTCGAGTGAAGACATCTCCATCCCCTGTGTCCAAAGGAAGCTGTGTGTCCATAAACCACAGGATCCAGCTGCGGGTGTGCTCTTCTCTGTGCCCACATCGATGCTGCCCTGGCTACAAACGCACACAGGGGTAGAGATCCTGCTGTGCTCAGGGCTATGGGGTGTGCAATGCTCAGGTGCTCCTGCTCCCGGGGAGAACAAACATGGATTTCTCTCCCTGACTGCACCTCTGCCTCCCACAGTCCCTCCTGGAATGGGGCTGAGCTGCCCAGTGACAGCCCTGGAGATACAAAGGGGTGGCTGCAGAGACACAAAGGGTCTGTGGGGCTACATGGTGAGAAAAAGGGGAGACATCTGCGGCCTGAGCTCAGTTGAGACATCCACCAGACCCTCATTCCTTCAGATTCATACTGTTTTACTGCCTCTCCTTTCTTTCCTTGGATTTTCTTTCCAAACCTAAATCCCAGCCAAAAGTAAATTTTAGTCCTGGCTGCACCCAGAAAGGCCCATACCAGCATCAAGATCACTCAGAGAACACCTCTGTCACCTCTCCTTTGAACTGAAAGATATCCACCCTTGAATTAAAAAAAAAAAAAGTACAAACTTTGTTTTGAAATTGCTACTAATCTCTTTTGCCCCCTTATCTTTGTGTCCAAATCCTTTGCACTCAGACCCTCTTGCATCCCAAGGCTCTGTGTAAATCACTCCCTTTCATAGAAAATTATATTTTTTGACTTCCACTTTAAAATCTTCCTCCTTAGCTAAACTACAAAACAACTCCAAGTAGTCATTTAAGAATTGAAAACACGAAGATAATTAAAGGAAAGAAAATAATTTGTTTGTCTGTATTTTAATGAGCCCCACAGTGTGTTTAGAGACAAGTCCATCATCCTCAAATATAGAAAGAAGATTGAAGAAGCTGCTCAAGAAGTCAGAAGCCAAACTCCCAGTCCCTTGAAGCATTGCTGGGCCCCACTGAGGGCAGGCACTGACAAAGCCTCCCCAGGGACTCCTTCGAGCAGATCCCTGCAGGCCAGGAGTGCAGGCAGACAAAGGAAAGTTGCTTGTGGTGGCCTGAGGGGCAGAGGCAGCTGCCAGAGCCAAGGGCACAAAGGCCTGGGTGCCTTTGGGCCTTGCAGCCCTGCCAGAGCCCTTGGCCATCTCTGCTGCAGGCTGTGCTCCCCTGGCCCTGCTGCTCCTCTGGCCTTGCAAGCTGCACACACCCCTCCTGCTTTCCCACCCCCCTCCCAGTGGTATTTCTGGGCCTTCCCTGACGTCTCTGCTGTCCCCCAGCTCTGGTTGTTCCCTGGAACACAAAGCCATGGGCTGATCCATACTCCGTCTGCATGACCTCTGGCACCCCAAGATGTGTCTTTAAACCAGGACAGGTTGCTCAAGGGCTCCCTGAAATTTGGCATCATCCACAAAGGACTTGAAAACACCTTTAAGTCTCGTTGTACAAAGAGATAATAAAGATGTTCTCTAGTGGTGTTCAAGGGCTGGTAACTGAGGGATTTCATCAGGAAGTTGCTGCCAAGAGGACTTTGTACCATGGATTTTATTTGACACTCTTCAGTCCAGCTCCCACCAGTCTGGTTCTAAGGAGACCACAGGACACCATGTCAAAGGCTTTGATAAAGTCTGGGCACAAAACATCCCCTTCTTTTCCCTCCCACAGGGGTTCTGCAATCCCTGCCTTGTCCTTCCCATGCCTGGCAATGGCTGCAGGAGGACTTGCCATTTCCCCTTCCCTGCTGAGCCTGAGCAGTCTTGAACTCTGCCAAGCCTCCTTGCTGCCCTGTTTGCAGACTGGTTCCATGTTTGCCTTTGTCAAGGCCCCAGGAAGTTCTGAGATGGCTCTGACCTTTGAAAGGGTTTGGGAGAGGTCTCCCAGTGACACTGCCCAGCCTTGTCAACATCCCTGACACCAAAACCTTTCCAATAGCCCACACTTGCAGTGGAGTGCCCAGGACACAACACAGGTTGTTTTTCATGGGGGTTCTGGAGAATTAGAAGTGATTTCTTCCTCAAGGCCAAACACTCCCATTGGATTTTAGTGCAGCTGAAAGGTTTCCTCAGTATTTTCCCTGGTGCCTCCCTGCCCTGAAGGTTTCTGGCCATCAGGCTGTAGCTGAGGGGCTTGGGCAGGGCCATGAGCAGGGGGTAGAACAAGGGCTGTGTCCAGCTATGCCACGAGAGCTGTGCTGGGCAAGGAGGAGGAGGATGCAGCAAACAGTGGCACTGCTGAGGGGAGAGGAGCAGGGGGAGAGACCTTGTGCCTGCCCACGCTGGGCAGGAGCTGCCCCAGGATGGCAGCTCTGAAGCACTCCCAGCATGTCCCTGGGAACAGCAGGGGAAGACTGGATTTCCAAATTGGGCTGGGAATGCAAAGAGCAGGAGTGTCCTGGTGTCACTGCAGGAGAGTTCCAGCCCTGCAGCAAGGGCACAGAAGAAGTGACCCAGTGCATGCAGTGCCCTCAGAAGATGCCACAGCATCCTGTAGATGCTGTCAGGGAGGCCAGCTCTGCTTCACAAGTTGCCAGTGCCTGTCCCTGCCTGTGCTCAAAGGGCTCCCACCCCCAGGACTGTGCTCAGAGAGCACTCAGGCCTTCCAGTCAGAAAGGGGTTCACAAGGACAGTGTGGAAGTGGAAAGAGCAGCTCTGCAAAGACCAAGCTCTGCTGCTCCCTGGCAGTGCTGCTGTGCTGGGATTCTTGTCCCCTTGCCCTTTGTAAACCTCCCCTGTCCTGCAGTGTGCTGTCCTTTAGGAACAGCTAAGAAGAAGGGTCTTGGACAAAGAAGGCATTTCAGGGTCCTTTATTTTCTTTAAATATTCAGAGCACAATTCATCATTTAAACATCTCTGTGTCAAAAAAAGAGTGGACACAAAAATCAAAGTCAAGTGCCTAAGAATATTTAATTGCACAGAAAATTATTGCAAGAAGAACACAATGGCCTCCGCAAATAATCTGATCAGAAAAACTGGTAAATTAATGAGTCCCATTCTGAATGCTACACACAGGAAACAGTCACTTTTTTGCTCCTGAAAAGCATCCAGTCATCATTCTCCTTACGGCATCCCTGAGTTCCTGGTTCCTCAGGCTGTAGATGAGGGGATTCAGGGCTGGAGGCACCACCGAGTACAGAACTGACAGGGACAGATCTAAGGATGGGGAGGAAATGGAGGGGGGCTTCAAGTAGGCAAAAGTGGCAGTGGTGATGAACAGGGAGACCACGGCCAGGTGAGGCAGGCACGTGGAAAAGGCTTTGTGCCGTCCCTGTTTAGAGGGGATCCTCAGCACAGCCCTAAAGATCTGCACATAGGAGAAAACAATGAAAATGAAACAACCAAAACCGAAGGAACAGCTTAATATAAGAAGCCCGATTTCCCTAAGGTAGCCTGAGTGTGAGCAGGAGAGCTTGAGGATGTGAGGGACCTCACAGAAGAACTGGCCCAGGGCATTGCCCTGGCACAGGGGCAGGGAAAATGTATTGGCTGTGAGTAACAAAGCATTGAGAAACCCACCAGCCCAGGCAGCTGCTGCCATGTGGGCACAAGCTCTGCTGCCCAGGAGGGTCCCATAGTGCAGGGGTTTGCAGATGGCAACGTAGCGGTCGTAGCACATGATGGTCAGGAGGGAAAACTCTGCTGAGATGAAGAACAGAAAGAAAAAGGCCTATGCAACACATCCTGTGTAGGAGATGGCTGTGGTGCCCCAGAGGGAGTTGTGCATGGCTTTGGGCACAGTGGTGCAGATGCAGCCCAGGTCTGTGAGGGAGAGGTGCAGCAGGAAGAAGTCCCTGGGGGTGTGCAGGCGCTGAGGATGAGGCCGTTGCCCAGGAGGGCAGCCAGGGAGATGCCCAGGAAGAGCCAGAAGTGCAGCAGCTGCAGCTCCTGCCTGTCTGAGAATGCCAGCAGGAGGAACTGGGTCATGGAGCTGCTGTTGGGCATTTGTTGCCTCTGGATATGGGCATCTGTTCAAAGAGGAAAGGACAGTGACAAGTTAGGGCAGAACATTCTGGGCTAAATCAAAGCTGCTTTCCAACACCCCTCTTACTGCTCCATTGGTTTTCTTTTTCTAGGAGTCTCTCCTTCAGTTCCATGACTGGAGCCCTGGTTGGGACTCACTACATTTTCCATGAGGAGTAGACCCTGTGCCCACTGGCTGTGAGGGGTCAGCCCTGCTCTGCACCCCTGGGGTCATGGCCATGGTGGGGACTGGGGCCTGTCCTGGTGTTCAGCTGTGTCAGATGAAACTGTTCCCAGTGCAAAAGTGCTTGTCAGCATCTGCACTCCCAGAAGAACCAAGAGAGCAGAAGGCAGTTCCAGAAGTTTGGGTTTGTTTATTTTCAGACTCGCCTCATCTCTCCTGAGGAGTGTTCCTGGATGTCAGAACCCCTCAGCACTTCTGATACATTCAGGGAGAACAGAGCAAGTCCTGCCAGGCAGGAGGATTGTCTGGGGCTTAGTGCAGAGTGAGGGGAGCTGCTCTGTCCCTCTCTCTTGTTTCCAACTGCCCTGGGTTTGCTCCTTCCTCAGATGGAGATTGATCACACTCCCAGTTTGGTCTGAAAAGCCCCAGACACTGCTGAGAGCAGAGGGATCCATCCCACACCCCTCAGTGTCTCAGCCTGTCTCAAGGGCTCAGCACCCCCCTTGTAGCCAAGGACACCCATGGCTCATCTCACCAACCCAACAGCATCTCCTGGGCTGGCACAGCAGCTCTGCCCCTCTGCACTGGGCAAGCTGAGAAACAAGGAATGCACAGGGAGGGGCCAGCTGGGAGAGGCCAGGGCAGAGCCCACTGGGCACTCAGGGCAGCCTCATCCTGAGCCAGCTGGGCCACCTCCCACACACCACCAGTGCCAGGAAGGTGTTCTCAGCCCTGTGCAGCTCCTCAGAGGTCCCTCTGGAACTCAAACCATCAGGCATGTGGCTTAAGAGCTTGAGAGAAATCCCTCCTTGGACCTTCCCCTTGAAGGATCCCCTGGAAAATGTGCTGGGCTGCTCTTGGTTGTGTGAGCAGCCCTGCCCCAGGAAACTCTCAGCTGATCAGGGAAGAAACCTGCCCTGCCCTGCCAGGCTTTGCTCTTTCCCCCACAGCCCCTGCCCAGCCCTGAGGGAGCTCCCCAGCCCGGCTGAGGCTGCCCCTGGCAGGTGGCAGAGCTGCTGCCCCGGCACAGCCCCTGGGCTGCAGGACCCTGCTCTGCAGGACAGCTTGGGGCAGCCTGGGGGGCACAGCCCGGCTTCACAGCCCTGCAGGAGCCCTGGCAAAAGGGAACCCTGCTGGGATGGGCCTGGGATGCTGCAGCAGGGACTGGGATGTGCCAACGCTCACAGATCTTTGCCCAACCTGCAGACACCTTGCCCTTCCTGCTGACTGACCTGACACCAACACCCAGGGAGGAGTCTTCCTAAACTCTGAGGTGTTACTGAGGGAAACAGCAGCTCAGGAAACATCAATATCCAATTAGGCAAGGGACACGCCCAGGGACTGTTTTCAAGAGAAAAATCTGAATTCCCACAAACAGATCATACTTTTCATGTTTTCCCACAGTATTTGTGCCATTTTCCTGTGAGTTTGATCTGTCTCATCGAGGTCTCGTTCAAAATGTCCGAGATACAATTAAAGTTTGCATGAGAGAAAAGTCACCATGATTGTTTTCTAGTTCAACAACTTCATAATATAATTACACAGAAAAAGCAAATATTCTTATTTAAAATGAAAAGAAATCACTGATACCCACCTTCATTTCAATGGAATACTTAAAGCAACCATTCACATGCAGATTATCCACATAGCATCAATGCCTGCTTGTCCCCAAATGTTGTCAAAGATGCAGCCTCCTCTTTTGAACTCTCAGGTGTCTCCCTGCTCCAAAGATCTGGGCTGGAGCCCAGGGCAGGCCAGCTTTGCTCCCAGGAACCTGCCAGAGCCCTTCTTAGGTGGTGCCAATCTGCCAGGCAGCGTTTCCCAAAGCTGGAGGAAGCCTGAAAAGGAAGGAAACTTCCCCAAAGCCAGCCAGGCTTTTCTCAGCAGCTGAGCTGCTGCCCAGAGCCTTTGCCTCCCTGCACTCAGGGCCTCCAAGGAGCTGCTGCAGAGTCCCTGGGGAGGGTTTGTCAGGAGGGGTCCTCGGGGGGGCTCCTTAAAGTCTTCAAGGGCCTGCAGGATTTTCAGAGCAATTTGGGGTTTGCTTTTGAGAGCTTTGTGCCACCATGTCCTCCAATTATCTGATTTAATGAGTCCCTTGAGAGCCCCAGACAGTGACAACCCTCAGTGGGTCATTAATGCTTCAAGGTACTCAGGGTTTCCTAAAACGCTTCTTTTTGACAGTGAGTCTGTGAGAGGTTTGCTCAGTCATGGCCTCCAATTATCTGCTCTAATGAGTCCCTTGAGATTCTCTGTCAGTTGTGACACTCAGTGGGGCTCAGTGATGCTTCAAAGCACTCAAGGTAAATTTATTAGACACTTTTTTTTGACACTGAGTCTCTGAGAGGTTTGTTCAGTCCTAACCTCCAATTATCTGCTCTAAGGAGTCCCCTGAGAGTCTTTGTCAGGAATGGCCCTCAGTGGGGCTTGTTAAAGCTTCAAGGTACCACAGGTTTGTTAAGACACTTTGCCTTTTCTTTTTTTTTGACTCTGAGTTTTGAAGAGGTTTATGCAATCATGGCCTCCAATTCTCTGCTTTAATTAGTCCCTGAGAGACTTTGTCAGTAGTTACACTCAGTGGGGCTCATTGATGCTTCAAGGTACTCAAGGGTTTTGAAGGAACTTTTCCTTTTGAAAGTGAGGTTTTTGAGAGGTTTGTTCAGTCATGGCCTCCAATTCTCTCCTCCACCGAGTTCAGGAGGAGCCTGTTTTGGGAATGGCCCTCAATGGGACCCATTAATGCTTCCAGATACTTTGGGTTTTCCTTCTGACTTTCACTTATGGACAGGTTTGTACAATCTCCCCTCAGGACCTGAGGTTCAAGGACTCAGCGCCAAAAGCCCCCTGGGGCTCACTCAGATAAAGCAAGTCCTGACAAACCATGGCCCTTCCTGTGATTTCCCTCTAGTCTGGACAGTAAATTAGGAGTGTTGTCTCATGGAATCAGGGGACCATTGTGACACTGCCCAGAGCCTTTGTCTGCCTGCACTCCTGGCCTGCAAGGACCTGCTCTAAGGAGTCCCTGGGGAGGCTTTGTCAGTGCCTGCCCTCAGTGGGGCCCAGCAAGGCTTCAAGGGACTTGGGCTTTGGCTTCTGACTTCTTGAGCAGCTTCTTCAGTCTTCTCTCAGTAGTTGAGGACAATAGACTTGTCTCTAAACACACTGTGGGGCTTATTATAATACAGAAAAACAAAATTTTTCTTTCCTTTAATTGTCTTCATGTTTTCAATTGTTCAACAGCTAATTGGAGTTGTTTTGTAGTTTAGCTAAGGAAGAAGATTTTAAAGTGGTAGTCACAAAAATTATATTTTTTTGATGAAAGGGAGTGATTTGCACAGAGCCTTGGAACACAAGAGGGTCCAGGTGCAAAGGATTTGGACACAAAGTAAGGAGGAAACAGAAATTAGGAGCACTTAATCATTGACCAACTTTACAGTTACCAAGTGATTCAATATAATTTGTGCAATTGAACAGTGACTGAATTATGGATTCAAAATAACAATTTTATCTCTCACATTTTATCTCTCTATATTGGTAAGAAACAAAAAAGGAGGGATTCATTTCATTGCAGTTCCCACCCAAGATTTTCTACTTAAGCAAAGACAACCCCTCAGTTGCAGAAGGTTTGTCAGAGTCACAAACGCCCAAGCGTTCCATAATGTTCCACAGTGTCCCTGGATTCCTTAGGTTCCCTGAGGCCCTAAACTGTCACAATGGACATTTGATTCCATGAGGCCCTGCACTGTCACAATGACCCCCTGATTCAATGAGGTTCTGCAGAATCCCAGACTCCCTTTGGTTCCATGAGGTGCTGCAGGGTCACAAGGTCCCCCTTATTCCATGAGGTTTCTCCATGTCCCAGGGTTCCTTTGGTTCCATGGGGTTCCACAGTGCCAAAACTGCCTTGTTCTCATCCTTCCAACATTTCTTGGGTGCATTGTGTCCCTGCCTGGGATGGAGCACGATTGTGTTTGTGCAGGAATGGATCCATGGCCATCCTGCCCATTGCACCAATGGAATGCTGCAAACACGGCACTGCAGGCCCCACCCTGGAGGCAGGAACAGTCTGGGAACTCCAGGCCTGCTCCCATTACCAAGAGCCAGGTGGGCTCACCAAGAGCACAAGGCATTGAATGCAGCCCCTGCAGCTCTCTGGGATTGCTGGGGACAAAGGCAGGAACTCAGAGGAGCTCTGCAGAGCCCTGAGAGTGCCACTGCAATCACAAAATGCATTGCCCGGCTCAACACTCAGCACAGCCAAGGCCACAACACTTCCTGAAAGGTGTCCCTTGTGGGGAGGGCCAGGGGGACAAACCCCTCCATCTGTGTGTTTAGATTTGCATTTTCTTCACTGTTTTGTGCTCCCAACACACCCACCCCCCAGTCTGGGCGGAGTCTGGCCCCCCAAAGAACACAGGACCTCACTATTTGTGGCTCCTGCTGCAGGGGTTGCAACTTGGGCCACAGTCTGTGCCAGGAGCAGAGAGGTCCCTCCCCACAGAAACTTCTTGGCAATGGAGTTATCCAGAAAACAGGACAGGCTGTGGGGATCAGGGTCAGGGCATGGTCTGGGAAGTGTCTTTAGCATCCTACTGTTTACCGTGACCAGCTTTTTCATCCCATTTTCTCTCTCTTTTCTC